GAGATGTTCCAACTCATCACCTTCACCGCTCTGTATCTTTGCCTGGTATTAACACTGGCCATTATGAAATGTATTTGGAATTTTGTCTGGTATTAACACTGGCCATTATGAAATGTATTTGGAAAGAAGCAAAAGGCACTGTATGATACTGTTCTTTTCTGCGCTGCCTGTCCCTTCGGCAGGCAGTAGGCCAGTTAACCTTTTTGAAACATTTCTGGAGCACGTACGGCTCAACAATTGTTGTATTTCATTGGCAGACAACAACACACTTTGGTTACACTCGACATCACCACCATTTTCTGTTTGTGCTTGTTCATCTTCACTGACCATGTCCACAGAGGCATCAGTAGAACTGTTACCAGTATCACTATTTTCCTCTGCGTGGACACTAGTTCCTGGTGGGTCTTGAGTTTCCACATCTGGTACTGACATCTGAATGTCCTCAGTTTGACTGTAATTTTTCCGAAGTTGCTGCACTGTGTTGGTGGTGTTTTTTTTCTTTAGTGTATCACAGAGGCTCCCAAACATTTCAGTTAGAGCTGTAAACTGAGCTTTGAGTTCTTTAATTTCATTTTTCAAATCATTGATCTCTTCACGATGTGCAGGGAGTGTGTTGGCAGCTACCTGTTGTGTCGGTACGTCTGTGTTGCCCCATGCTGATCTTTCGATGACTGCTGGTGATGATCCTGGAGCTTTGGTGGGGAGGGCAGGCCAGGGGTTGGCCGTAGGGAGTACCCTAGCAGCATTAGTGTTTCTTGAGACCTGCCTGGGTGGCGGGTCTGGGCGCTGAAGGGGTGTAGGAGCTCTAGAACAGTTAGGGTGCCATACAGAAACTCCAACTGTTTTGCAGTTAATACACTTCTGTTGGATGACACCCCCTTGAGCAACTGTATCTCTGCAAACCTGTGTTGCATGTTGCCTTGAGCAGAGACCACACCACGGCTTAGTCGAGGGGCATAACCGGGCCACATGGCCCCAGTGCTGACAGTTGTAACACCTCCGGTTAGGGGGCTGATAGAGTGTTACCTTCAGAGTCCGATAGGCACCACGGACTCGAATGGTCTTGGGTGGGCCTTCCGAGCCAACCCAGTCTGCAATGACTGCATTCTTGCCCCTGAGTCGCTTCGTCCTTCTGATGTAGGGATGGGCTTCTAGTAGTGTAGGGGTCTGGTACTGGTCGAGCCCTATGATTATTATGGTTTTCTTGCTCGATGGTTGGGATGATTGTTCCATGGTTATTCCCCTTATGCTATGTTAATATGTTAATATGTCACTATTATGAGGTGTGAGGCAGAGCTGTCAGTGGGATTTCCTCTCTCGTCTTCACCTGAATACAAAGGTTTTCAGTTAGGGTGCCATACAGGAACTCCAACTGTTTTGCAGTTAATACACTTCTGTTGGATGACACCCCCTTGAGCAACTGTATCTCTGCAAACCTGTGTTGCATGTTGCCTTGAGCAGAGACCACACCACGGCTTAGTCGAGGGGCATAACCGGGCCACACGGCCCCAGTGCTGACAGTTGTAACACCTCCGGTTAGGGGGCTGATAGAGTGTTACCTTCAGAGTCCGATAGGCACCACGGACTCGAATGGTCTTGGGTGGGTCTTCCGAGCCAACCCAGTCTGCAATGACTGCATTCTTGCCCCTGAGTCGCTTCGTCCTTCTGATGTAGGGATGGGCTTCTAGTAGTGTAGGGGTCTGGTACTGGTCGAGCCCTATGATTATTATGGTTTTCTTGCTCGATGGTTGGGATGATTGTTCCATGGTTATTCCCTTATGCTATGTTAATATGTTAATATGTCACTATTATGAGGTGTGAGGCAGAGCTGTCAGTGGGATTTCCTCTCTCGTCTTCACCTGAATACAAAGGTTTTCAAGATGTTATTCCATGTGTGTGTGTGTTACAGTGTTCACGGTACACATGTGCACTTTAGTCCAGGTATTGGTACTCGAACTCGGGTACATTCCTTTTCACTGCTCTTGTGTGTGTGTGTGTGTGTGTGTGTGTGTGTGTGTGTGTGTGTGTGCTTTCAAACGTTTAAGTGTACATGTACTTAAGGCTGACGTGTGTACTTTATTTTGAAGTACATGAACGCATTCACTCAAGCGTGCATGTGTATAATTTTGTCCAAGTACAAGATTATGTGTACTCGTTCTCATGAGTGCATTGAGTACATGCACACACGTACTCCCAGTCCTCCTATGGCTGCATTTAAGGAATTCAACAGGGCTCCGACCCCCCGGGGGACCGCTCTCAACAGCACAAGCGATAAATATATTCCTGCATGAAAACAAACCCATAATTTTCAATTTCGATTGAATACATAATCACAATAGCCTGGGCTGCGTCTTTCAATTCAAATGAAGTTACATAAAGGAGAAAATGAATAAAAAATGCATGATTACCGATACGTCAAGCAATTATCGCCGTTCCGGCCACCTGTCCATAAAATCCAAAATAACATTATTGTGACTATTGACTCGGCCCTTACTGATTGACCACTTATAGTTGCAAATACAGGTGTGGCCGATGGCATAACTCATCCAGCCCTAGACGCATAGATATGACCCTCACCTTCGAAACCCACCACGCCGCCCAGCCCGCTTCAGATAACTCAGAAGCCTCAATAGCGCCTTCTGAGATCGTTAATACATTTAGATCTGGCTTGTATGTGGGGAATATGTAAGGTAAGTCGTTGTTTATGGCCCCACTGTCATGTGACCGCCATCTTGGGCAGTACTCCTTTCATTTAGGTCTATATTCATCACGGACGGGCTGCTTATAATGCATTGAGACACCTAAGACGCGATCCATCAGGAGATGTTCCTCGTGTAGACGCTCCTCAGGCAAAAACTGCACCGGTAGGTGGGTAGGTGTGACCGGGTGCCCCTGGAGGAGGGGGAAGCCGTGGCCGAGGGAGGGTCGGGACGCGCCGGGTATGTGGGCTCCCCGCGCTGCTCACTACATACCTGTATGACGTCCTTGGTCAAATTTATCACTCGCTACGCTCCAGTCCAAGCCCAAGTCTGGTCTGCCGCCATGCAGGCTTTTATATCAGGCTCTGCAGAGCCTTGCTCCTCCGGGCCCCACTATCAACTTTCGGGCTTGACGTTTCGGGCTCCGGGCGGCTGTTTAATTGAGCAGGATTTATTTGCTAAAGATAGGAGGGAGGAGGCGAGCGCTGGGTACGGATACCTTCATGTGACTTGGATCTTATCTCACTTGAAAGTCATGGTTTGTCACAAGTCTGCGAAATATGCCTGGTATTAATTCAGTCCCGGTGATTAACCTGGAGGATTCATTAGATCACTCAGCTGGCTATTATACCAACACACCGCACCCCGGAGACATACCTGTGGCCGGGCGGGCGGGTGTCCGTGCCGTTGAGTGCAGGGACGTTTGGAAATGGGAGTCGAATTACAGAGTGTGGCATTCCCGACTGTAAAATATAATGGTCAGTTTATTGTGAGGTCGGCTGGTGGAGGCTCGGGGCCTGGCCTCCCTCACCTATAGTGTTTTCATGGCCTGATTGGTATTGTGTTTATACCCGATCATTATTGATGACACTACATCAGCGAGGTGTCACGAGGCTTTTGTTGTCTACTCCATCATTGACTTCCTTCTCTCCCGGGATTAAGGCGTTAATGTCTTCTTATCCATCTCGATTTTTTATATCATCACTATTAACTCTTTTTTAGTGCATGCTTTATTTAGCTGGTCAGGTGTATTAATCAGCAAAGTAGTTGTCGATGCATCATACAATGGGGTATTGTATTATTTCCGCCGTGATTTGTATCGTCTCACCCATCCAGGTTTACAAGAGACGGAAGGATATTAATACCAGTATTTTTTTTTACTCAACATGTTAGTTATAACAGATAAAATTGTCCCCGAGGGTGCCGTGTTGTTGTTGAAGATTTACATATTTACCTACATATTCTTATATTCCGGCACTGGGGAGGATCGTGTCTTCTGTCTGTCTTTCACAACTCGTTCTTGCTGGCGGCGTTCACGGTTGTATTATCTCCGGGGTGACGTTCACAAAGCCCTCTGCTGTTCACAATTCTGTTGTGTTCTTTGGGTGCTGACAGGGACCTTCTCTCAACCTTCCGTGCTGACAGAGATTTTCTCTTAACCTTCAGTGCTGACAGGGACCGTCTCTCATCCTCTGGTGCTGACAGGGACCTTCTCTCAACCTTCGGTGCTGACAGGGACTTTCTCTCATCCTTCAGTGCTGACAGGGACCGTCTCTCAACCTTCGGTGCTGACAGGGACCTTCTCTCAACCTTCAGTGCTGACAATTACCTTCTCTTAACCTTCGGTGCTGACAGGGACCTTCTCTCATCCTTCGGTGCTGACAGGGACCTTCTTTCAACCTTCGGTACTGACAGGGACCTTCTCTCAACCTTTAGTGCTGACAGGGACCTTCTCTCAACCTTCGGTACTGACAGGGACCTTCTCTCAACCTTCGGTACTGAGAGGAACCTTCTCTTAACCTTCTCTGCTGACAGGGACCTTCTCTCAACCTTAGGTGCTGACAGGGACCTGATCTTAACCTTCTCTGCTGACAGGGACCTGATCATAACCTTCTCTGCTGACAGGGACCTTCTCTCAACCTTCGGTGCTGACAGGGACCTTCTCTCAACCTTCGGTACTGAGAGGGACCTTCTCTTAACCTTCTCTGCTGACAGGGACCTTCTCTCAACCTTAGGTGCTGACAGGGACCTGATCTTAACCTTCTCTGCTGATAGGGACCTGATCTTAACCTTCTCTGCTGACAGGGACCTGATCTTAACCTTCTCTGCTGACAGGGACCTTCACATAACCTCTGGCATTCGCACACAGGTCTTGCAGGTCGTTCACAGTAAATCATAGATGCTGTTCAGGGCCGTCCACACACCTTGTTCATCTTATGACGTCTTCACCGGCCTCCCGTGTTCACAGCTGAGTATTGACCTCTTGTAATACATTGTGTCAGGCCTGGGTACTGGTGACTGTCAGGCCTGGGTACTGGTGACTCTCAGGTCTGTTGTACTGGTGACTCTCAGGCTTGGGTACTGGTGACTCTCAGGCTTGGGTACTGGTGACTGTCTGGGCTTGGTACTGGTGACTGTCTGGGTTGGGTACTTGTGACTGTCAGGGCTGGATACTGGTGATTATCAGGGCTGGGTACTGTTGACTGTCTAGGCTGGGTACTGGTGACTTAGGGCTGGGTACTGGTGACTGTCAAGCCTGGGTACCGGTGACTGCCTGGGGTGGGTACTGGTGACTTAGGGCTGGGTGCTGGTGCCTGCATTAATCTCTCTCTCTCTTCTCCAGTGGTTTATATTGAAGTAAAATTATTTGGCATTAATTCTATGGATCCTAAAGTATCCTGGTGTAGAGATACAGTATTATGTGTGGAGTAATTATATATATATATATATATATATATATATATATATATATATATATATATATATATATATATATATATATATATATATATATATATATATATAAAGTATTAGGAACATGGCAGTTACGGTCATGGGTCAGTACACTGTACAGGTTTTTGTGGTAGTATTTAAATTCAGTCAGGAGGAGGAACAGCTGAGGTGCCTCGCCTCCCCCCCCCTCCCCCTCCCCCCTTGTACTGGCCTGGGGGGGGGGTCCTGACACAACCAACACTACTGTGATGGTAATGAAAAACGAAAGTAATGATGATAATAGTGAATATGTTGAGGAACATTATTATAATAACAATTTAGAAATTAACAATATCATCATTATCGTAATTAGACCATCGAGGAAGTTTAGTATTATAACACACTTGGTCCCTAGACACTGTAAGGTAAAGCTATGTTATCCTCCGTCCTCAGGGCCAGTCATGATGGGCAGAGAAATAACGAGGCATAAACCAAAAGAAAAATGATCATTGACACGTCAGACAAGCGGGGTCACCTGTCGTCAGTAGAAACAATTCGCTAAATATCGCTTTTATTCGAGTGGCTGTTGTACCTCTAATACTATATCAGAGTTTGTGTAATTGTGAAAACTGGGAATGTGATTTTGAATAAGAGGAGAGGTGACTGGTAGGGGAGGTAACTGGCAGGGTAGGTGACTGGTAGGGGAGGTGACTGGTAGGGTAGGTGACTGGGGAAAAAAAATATTTTTTTATACATAACACAACAATGACCAAGATTTTTAGGGGGTCTGGTTGTGTCCTGTTCACATGATGTTCTTCCTGGCCAGCACATTGTTCTATCTCGAGTTGGCTATAAATTATTATTCTTCGTCACATTGTTTTATCGTCTTGTTCATACTATGTTCTTCCTGTTATTTGAATTGTTCCATCCATCGGTCACATATTGTTTCTGTTCTTCACGTTATGCGTTATCCGTGGTTGTGATGTGTCAGCCTTCCGTGGTAAAGGTAAAAAGACTGCGTGACAAGCATGGACTGTGTATAACGAGGTCTCCAGTACCTTCACCAAACTCAGTCAGTGTCGTACATCAGTGAGTGAAGAAGACCTCAGTGTCTTGGAAAGGTTTGTGGTGGTGATGTATGACAGGTCTAGTCCAGCTTTATGTGGCAAGACTTGATTTATTTTCTCGCAAGGGGAGATCATATAATGCAATTCCACCAACACGGTGCAGCCTATCAAGGTGGAATGATATGGGGTCAGGCAGCTGGAGCCCAAACAGACATTCCGAGTCCTGCTAACTGAGGCTGGAAAAAGAAAGATGTGTGGCAATTACACTGGATAGACCTTCCACCAAGAACTGACCAAGTGTTCCTACAAGAAAGACTGTGGACAGTGATGTAAAGGTATCCGCTCTGGTCTCACTTGTACAGCTCTGTGTGGCTGCACATGCCAGCAGCTGTAAATATGAAAAAATTCTTATAACAATATCTCCCAAGGATATGAGCAAGACATAAACATGTTTCTCATTGTTTAACTAAGAATCGCTTACACTTATTTTTATGAAGAGGTAAAAGTATGTGTAGAACCGTTACTTTATGCATAAAAAACATATCTAAGGGTTCCAAAACAATCATAATCTGTTCCAGCATGCTTTAAAACAGAGGAGTAGACACCTTATGTGCTCAGAGTGCCCACTAATAAGTCATTATATGTAAAAAAAATATTTTCGAGTAGACAAATTTGGCGGCCATCATGGAAAATGGCCGCCGTCTTGGAATTTTGAATGTCCAATCGGATAGATTTAATAAGTAACCCATATTAAATGTCCATACCCAATTTCATGTTTGTATGATCATTTGCATGATTGTACCTGTTATCCTCTCCGCTATCGGGTGAAGATGGGGAACAAGGGATATTTTCACAGTAGGTTACTTAAGTAAGGCACACATACAACTGACTAACGCAGCTAGAGGGAATGAACACACACACACACACACACGTAAGTCATGCACTGTGGGCCAGCTATAATCATGCATATCAATTTCACAGGTGATCAACACAGGCACCTGAACTCTGGAACAATGACCAGGTACACAGTCACGCTGATTCATTACGGCTGTTGTTACAATGATAATTCCAGCAGGTGTCACCGTGGGATTATAGGTACATTTTCCGCCTATGATTTACCTCCTATTTACATGCTATTTCCTTACTAACCTATTTCCTATTTTAGGTTGGTTATAGGTACAAAAAACCCTATTTTTTCACCTTCAATTTATATATTATTTATTTACTAACATATTTCTTATTTTTAGTTGTTATTTGATTTTATTAATTGATTTTTGCTGATATATGACTACTGATGTATGGATAGTTTTTTGTGTCGTAGGATTCCGAGTACAAAGTGTGTATGGTGTGTGTCGCAGTGTGTGTATCTCAGTGTGTATGGTGTGTCTCAGTGTGTAAGGTGTGTGTCTCAGCGTGTAAGGTGTGTCGCAGTGTGTGTACCTCAATGTGTATGATGTGTGTGTTTCAGTGTGTATGCGTTAGTATATATGGTGTGTGTGTGTCTCAGTGTGTGTGTTCCTCCGTGTGTATGGTGTGTGTGTCTCGGTAAACATTGTGTGTGCCTCAGTGTATAAGGTGTGTGTCTCAGTGTGTAAGGTGTGTCGCAGTGTGTGTACCTCAGTGTATATGGTGTGTGTCTCAGTAAATATTGTGTGTGCCTCAGTGTATATGTAAGGAAGAATGTTTACACCTGTTTGATTCCCAGGTCCACATCACCTGGAGTATAATACAGAACAGGTACTGAGTGTTGGGGTATAAAATCGTGAATTATGTTGGTTTGTTTGACGACTGACATTATCAACATTTGTTCCATTGATTTCTGTGCTACTGGTATTGACTTGTCGTTTCCGTTCGCGTTTTTTTTGGCATTGCATGAAGTAAAGTCGTGATAATTTTTTAGCTGTGATATTTATTCATCGCTCCCTTAGAATGAAATCCTCTTTGATATTAATAATCACAGGGAGTTGAAACACTTAGTTGGACCTACAAATAGTTGATATATAATTTCCTGCCCCTGCCAATCAATAATCACTCGTAGCACAGGGCCACTACCTTATACGGTGTCGGGCGCTTGAACCACGGTTAATAATGTCCCCAGGTAAGTGTGATAAAACCGAATGACCCCCTTTATTGTGTTTACCTGGCAATGACCCAGTTGTCGGCCGAGTGTTTCAGCGTGAGGAAGTGTGAAAAATGGATCAGGCGACGTCGTAAAGTGTGAGGTTTTACTGGATTCTTTCCTTGACGTAGGAGACTTGACATGAGGGGGAGGGTGGGTGAGTGAGTGCGTGAGTAAGTGGTGCTAAGGCTACAGCTGCTGGAGTCGAGTATTATTGACTCAGCTCTGTAATAACGTGACAGAAATAACAACACAGCAGAAATACAATATAACCCAGATTACATATAGCCTAACATAGCGTATAAACAACGGTAAATAAATACGGTAGTTTATAATAATAGTTGTTGAGTTAAATCACAAGATAAAATAACAATATGAAAGAAGGGAATAAACATGACGAATGGAAAATATAAAGTTAATGAAGGATATAAATTACATAGAATCCACTGGTTTATATCACCTACCACCAGCTATAAAACTCAACACATATAACAACTAATAGAAATTATACCAAGTCATACAAACATAAACAAGTATAAATAAATAAAAAATGGGATATAACTTATCTATATGTATAAATTTCCCATTACATTCTGATAACTAGGTTGGAATGTGATGTGTCGTCAGCTCACACGAAATATAAGGTTCAAAAGACTGTATAATTCTCTGTACTATGGATATAATTTATTGCCAGCCTAAAAATACATACATACAATTAATACATAGGCGCAAGTCATACACACACACATGTAATAGGCCCCTGTCTCATCAACAGAACGTATTATATAAATGGGTCAATACATCTGATATTATATTCAGATTCACCACCCTGTAACTTTCCACTGTCTATGAGTAAGACATGAGATGGACACGTGAGCGGGCAACTCACCCAAGAGGGCGAGACCCATAGCTCAGCATTTCTGTAAGCACGCACTGCGATGCCCTTAAGCTTCAGTAGCTCACCTCAACTCATATCGTAAGGACGTGACCTAACGTTTATTATACATAAACGCCGTCCCCTTCTCATTCACTCCTAGACAGTGAGACTTACGGTTGATATACACTCAGGAATTATATCTACAACCTTTTATAATAAAACAAAGGAACTACCGTTTGGGTTTCGTTACTTAAAAAACAAATATAAATATGTGTGAACGGACTGGTTAATTGGACAAGCAGCCGATTCATATAGGTGGCAAGCGGTGTGTACGGATTCTTCAAACTGGTAGTCGTATCATGCGTCTGTGTTTTGTGAAAAACAAGAAACCACACAGCAGTGACGCGTTACATAATCCGAGTGTTTAAAACTATATCCCGTATTGAGACGATATTTAGTGAGAGCTCCTTATCTCTGTCACATACAAATACGTGCAGAATTCGTAATATACATATATTACAGCCTGTTGGTACATATCCAGATTGAGCCTGTTGAGATAGACTCCACTCAGCATTCCTTAGACATTACAGTGTTGCAGTGTTGAAAAAAAGTTTCGTAGCCTGGTCTACAATTGGTATTTCACTAACAACTGAGCAGTATTG